GTGCTGCCTGAGGAGGCCAAGGAGCACTGGGAGAGCAGTTACCAGTTCTCCTTGAAGAACTGTAACCACGCTGTCTGGTGAGGCACCTGAAACCCCGATGGGGGGGCTGCTTGGGGGTCCCTTCCTGGGGCGGAGGGGAAGGGCCGGGCCGGGCGCAGGGGATCCTGCCCTGCCCTGAGAGCTGCTGCTGATTTGGGTGGTTTTCTGCCATTCGAACTGAAGGAACAGGAGCTGCAAGCTGATCCAGGAGGGGAAGGAGTGCTTCCAGGGCATGCGCCTGCGCCACTACTACATGCTGTGCGGGGCCCTGCTGCGGGTCTGGAGCAGGATCGCCAGCATCATGGCAGACATCACCAGCACCAGCTACCTGCAGATCGTCCGCCTCAAGACCAAGGAGAAGAAGAAACAAGTCGGTGGGTGAAATGCTGGGAAGGGGAAAGGGGAGCTGGACGTTTTAGGAGGAGGAGAAGGGGTCCAGCTGCCCAGTGCCAAGGTTCCCTCCCTGAAAAGGGGCGTGTTCCAGCCTGGAAGCACCCACTGCTCAGCCGGGGCTGCCCTGAGGGGTGCCGGGGCGCCGGGCAGAGGGGTGAGCTGTCCCCAGCCGTCCCCCCAGTGCCCGTGGGAGGCAGTGCTGGTGCTGGCAGGGCACCGCGGGGCTGCTGCTGCCCGGGTCGCAGTGGCGTGGCCCAGCTCTGCCGTCCGGCTGAGGGGCTGAGCGGGCCGGCAGCAAGGTCACCGCATGGCCCCGGCACTGCTGCCGTCCCCGCAGTGCCCGTCCCAATCGCTGTAGGGGCTGATGCACCCTCCTCCCCCAGGGATAAAGATCCCCGAGAGCTGTGTCCGGAAGGTGCTGGAGGAGCTGAAGCAGATGGACGAGAACGTGAAGCGAAAGCACAACCGCCTGCTGCAGGAGCAGAGCCTGCAGTTCCCGCTGCCGCTGCCCATCCTGCCGCAACCCCTGGACCTCACACAGACAGGGCCCGGGGTCCCCCTGCCCGGGCACCCCCTGCGCCAGGATGAGATCCTGGACTTGACCTACAGCCCTCCCAGCAACAGCATTCCCGACGTGGCCATGAACCCCGAGCCCGGTGCGCTGGGTTTCCCCTTGGAGCCCATTCTCCAGCCACACCAGCAGCCCAGGTTGCCCTTCGGCTTCAGCCACCCATCTGCCTTCAAGAGCCCGGGGCCCGTCCTGGGCGAGAGCGTGGCCCTGAGCTCCACGCTGCAGGAGCGCCTGCCCCTGCCCCAGCCGGGACCCTTGCAGGCTCTGCAGCAGCAGCAGGACGAGTTTGTCCCACAGGATGGGAATATCAATTTTAGAGAGATCCTGGAGGACATGCTAAGGACGTTAAACGGGGCCCCCCAGGAGAACATGTTCCCCCAGGAGCGCCAGAGCGTGATCCAGTTCACTGGCCCTTTCCCGGACTTCTGAGGGCCGGCGGGGCTCGGCCGCTGCGGATCCGTCGCCTTTGGTGCAGAGGTGAGAGCTGGGGAGCCCCGGCTTTTCTACTGGTTTGGACTGGCCCCTTTCTGTTTTTGAGGGAAGAAAAACAAAACCACCTATAGTTCCTTAAAGCAAAGTTTATTTATATATAATATTCAGTCAGGCATGTATAGATTGGTATATAACATGCGCTTGGGGGTTGAGGGCTGCCACGTTCAGCTGATATGGACTGATGGTCTCTTCGAAGGTCAGCGGGGGTAGGACTGGGGAGAGACCCCCCCTCTGCGCCCGTCCTCCTCCAGACTACTGAGTGTCCGCACTGGGCCCGGCCCTCCCCTGCTGCTCTCCAACACGCACTGGGGACCAGAGTGCTGGTCCCTTACTGAGGGGGGGAGCCCACTGCCCCCCCCAGAGCGTCTGCCTGGGCTGCTGCCCGCCCTCCTCTGCCCGCTGCGGACCCTGAGGCTGCTCTGGAGGGCTGGGCCTGAGGGTGGGGGGGAAGGGAAGGGAATTGCCGTTCCAGGAGCCTCGAGTCCCTCTGCACCGGGGGTGGCAAAACTGACTGTGCCCGCTCTGCCCCCCCCGGGGAGGGACACCCCCACCACGGGCTGCCCGAGCTCCCTGGGCAGGGCAGGAGCTGCCTGCGCCTCCTTGTTGGTGGCAGAGCCAGGGGGGTGGCAGGGCTGGGGGGGTGCCAGAG